TCCAGAACACTTCAACCCAAATATTCAGATGTGTGCGGCACATTTTATGGAGGACTGTTTCCTGATCCTGGGAGAGTAGACTACAATGTCGGCTGTTCTGACTCACAGACTGTAAGTATGTTTTCATATTTAAAGAATTTGTCACTGACAATTAAAACGTGAGTTTTGAGCAGTGTAGAGTAGCACTTGTTGTTTGTTGTTTCTCTGATCACAAATGCAGACATGGTTTTAGGTTTACGCGGCGCGATGCAAATGGGTTTTCATGTTTTTGAATCATCGCTCCGGCCTGACAGGGCATTATCACAATATGGTAAGGGCGTAACATTTCCGTCACACGCTTGAGGTATTCGGCCAATCACAACGCACTGGATAGCTGGCCAATCACAGCACACCTCGCTTTTCAGAACGATGAGCTTTGTAAAAATCTACGCGTTTCAGAAAGGCGGGGCATAGAGGAGAAACAATAATGTACAGTATGTGGAATTTTTATGTGGAAATGTGTTTTTTGAACCTTAAACCGCATAAACATTTCAATACACAAAATAATGTTCTTTTTTAGCAACGTCATATGATAACATTTATGTGTCTCAGTAGTTGATTTTTATTAAAATCGATTTCAACTTTTTTTCTTGTGTTATTTTAGTATAATTTATACAATATTATTGTATTTTTTAGATTTTGAATTTAGCTTTTATTTTTATATTTTCAGTTTTCATTTAGATTTTTAGTATTTTTGTTACATGCTTGTCATTTAAATTGTTTCCCAAAATATTTATATTTAGCTTTCATTTTTATTTGAGTTAGTTTAGTACTTCAACTTCAAGTTATTTTATATAAATTATTTGCAAAAGGCAAAATTTGTAATTTTCAAGTTTTATACGTTTAATTTTTAATTTATTATTTATATGTTATTATTGTATTATTAGTTTTACTTTTAGTTAACAATACAATACAGATATGAAGGTCAGGCCTATATATCTTTTTATATATAAACTTTCTGATATACAATTTTCATAATTTACCCTGACCAGATTTTCAATCTAAAAATATGAAAATAACCATAAAAATATTATAAAATTTTTAGAATTATCAGGATGTGAACAGAGATATAATAAACACAGACAATATTTATAGTATGAAAAATATTTATAACAAAAAAAGCTTTTGCCTGCTGGACGTGTTGACTTTTTATAAATTTTTTTGCTGAAAATTATATATATATATATATATATATATATATATATATATATATATATATATATATATATATATATATATACATATATAATATTTTTTTCCCCCTGAACGTTTTATTTTTATTTTTTCCAAATGTTACTATACTTGGTTACCAAGGAGACAAGACAACAATGGCAGTGAAGGGTGTGAGATGAAATATGAGAGACTTATCGTGCTTATTGACTTGTTGTGTATCCTTTCTGTTCAAACCACCAAATTAATTTGAGCATTTTTGACAAATAAAATGCTAGTTATACAACTATCAGGACAAAAAAATTTTAAAATGTAATTTCCATCACAAAATTACAGATGTGGTGGAAATGTTCATGTTCATAAAATCGGACATTATTAGTGCACAAATGACCTAGTGAGAGCTCACCTGCAGGATCAGCAGCATCTGTGTGATTGGAGGAGGATATGAGGAGCCCTGAAACATGTTCTCCAAAGGAAGCTTTAACAGAACCATGTTCCTGAAGCCTTGCAGAGCCATTTGCCTCACAGTCAACTCCTGACCCTAAACCCAACCAAAAAACACCAATCACCATAGTGTCGGTAAATCGACGCCAACTTACTACTTTGAATGGTAGGTGAGATCATTTTAATACCTGCACGGGGTAGAAAATAGCTTGAAGAGTTGGCAGGATGTCTGTGAAAAACCTCACCCACATCTCAGACAGTGCTTGAAGATGACTTTCATCTGGGCATGAGAAATGAGACAAGAATGCAAGGAGCGATTGAATTACATCTGTATAAAACCTTATTAGAGCTCACGCAGGCCATGAAATGCACCAATAAGACCTATAAAACGGGTTCAGCACTCACCGTTATGAAGCTGAATCTTCTCCAAAATATACGTCAGACCCTTATTCAAGAGCTGATCCTGGATGAAATGAGTGATGCAAGTACTTAAAGGAATATTCTAGGTCAATTACAAGTTAAGCTCATTTGACAGCATGTGTGGCGTAATGTTGATTAGCACAAAAAAAGAATTTCCACTTGTCCCTCTTTTTTCTTACAGTGAAGCACTTAGAATGAAAGTGAATGGGCAATTTGTAAATGTAAATTTGTAAATACTTAGTTTCAATAGTATAGCCACAAGATATGAACAATGTGAGAGTTAACATGATATAGTATTAAAAAAATGCTTACTAACATTTTGCTATAAACCATCAAACCCTAAAACAACTGTAAAAAATTATTATTTAAACACATTTACAGCTCAAATAATACATATTTTAACATAAGAATTCATGTTTGTGCTTTTATGAAATTAATAGCTTCGCATTTGTGACCCTGGACCACAAAACCAGTCTTAAGTCGCTGGGGTATATTTGTAGCAATAGCCAAAAATACATTGTGTCAAAATGATTTATTTTTCTTTTATGCCAAAAATCATTAGGATATTAAGTAAAGATCATGTTCCATGAAGATATTTTGTAAATTTCCTACTGTAAACTTAATTTTTGATTAGTAATATGCATTGCTAAGAAATTCATTTGGACAACTTTAAAGGCGATTTTCTCAATATTTAGATTTTTTTGCACCCTCAGATTCTAGATTTTCAAATAGTTGTATCTTGGCCAAATATGGTCCTATCCTAACAAACCATACATCAATGGAAAGCTTATTTATTCAGCGTTCAGATGGTGTATAAATCTCAATTTCGAAAAATTTACCCTTATGACTGGTTTTGTGGTTCAGAGTCACATTTCTGCTTGTAAACACTTCAAAAATTGTCCCCATTCACTTCCACTGTAAGCGCCTCACTGTAACCTTGACATTTTTTTTGAGAGAAAAAATGAGGTACAATTGAACATCAACATTATTCCACCAACACTGTCAATCAAGTTTAATAGTTAACAGGGTGCGTTCTCAGATAATGTTTTGGTAAGGTTCACTCAAAGTTATGAACAAACGTTCTTCCAGTGACAATTAATAGAATGTTATTTAAAGTTCTCTGGTCTTTAATAACATTCTCAAAATGTTAGCACAAAAACATTTTATACAAATATAATTTATTCATCATTCTTTTTTTTCTGAAATGTTTTAGTTGGATGTTCATCTAACGTTTTTTCAATGTTAATATACGTTTCAGAATGTTCAGAGAACATTCAACACTAACAATTCCATAATGTTTGCAAAATGACAAAATGGAATGTTCCCTTAACGTTTGTATAACAAAGAAAAAAATGTTTTAAAAACATTTTAAAAACTGGACATTTTGAATGTTCAAAGAACATCAGTAATACAGTTTTCTGAACTTACTGGGTATGTTAGCAAAACATTCTTAAAATATATTTTTGTTAGCTGGGTTGAACCTGGAATATTTAGGTTTTTTAAATGTCTAATTAGAATAATTTCATAATAAATTCAACAATTTTTTGTAATTCTCTTCATTATGTATTCAGGATTGAAAATACATTTTACCTGAAAATACTCAGTGATAAATGATCCCAGTTCAGTCCTCAAAAGCCACCTGATACAACAGTTATAAGCTCAGTTAGTCACACCCACCCTCATAAACAAAATCTTTTTACTTTTTCATTAAAAAAAGAAAGGAAAAAAACTAAAAATCTTATTGCCTGCCTGTACAAAACTCATCACCACAAAGCTAGGTGTTGCTATGTGGTTGTTAGTGTATTCTGGGTCATTGCCTACTGACCCGAGTCAAAAATCTCTAATCTTAAATTGAGATCAGTGTATAGGAAGTGAATCGAGTACATGGCTGCAGATCTCTTTATTACTTTCTTACCTTATGCTTTCATTCAGGTTATAGAGCTCATTGGCTTGTAGCCCACCACCTTGGAAGACTTTAATTACAGCCGTTTGAACACTGTAAAACAGAAAAGACTCAGTTTGGGGAGAAATCGGTAAACTAGTGGCCTGACTGCTGATTTGCAATCTAAAAAAATTCTATGCAAAACATCCCTTTATATGCATAAAGACTTTGCAAAAACATGTCAAAATCCAGCAAGATCACCTGCGTAAGGGAAATTCTCTGTTTTAATGTCTATAATCAGCATTTTTGTCCACTTGCCAGTAAACTTTCATTGCCCGTCGACCAACCGACCACTTCTGACTAACATCCTGCTCTACACTTCCTGAGAGAGGGGCAGCAGAGGTCCCATTTCCATAAGGAAGTAGTAAAGGCAAAAGCTGCTGTCTGCGTTCTTCTCTAATGCTTAATAATGTGTGTCTCTAAGGGGTTTTCCCCTGAAGACTAAATATAGCAAGCAAAGTGTGAAATCATATATGAAAAAGCAAGGTTTCACTTTTGAGTCAGAGGTACAGTGACTGTAAACATCACTCTTTTGACTTTGAATTTATTCAAAAACAAACAAACATACAAATAAACAAAAACAATGCAAATACATTTCATGCATTTCTACAATGACTTCTACAGGCACCTCTATACGTGAGAATGTTTTTAATTTCTGAATTAAAACTCATTTTGATGTTTTTTTTTTTTTTGGAGGCATTCAGTCAAAAAATACAAACTACTGTCCTGATATCATAATGAAAAAAGAAAAGACAAAAAATTAATTTCTCATTAAAGAATAAAATAAAAAATAAAACTAGTTTGGCATAATAATCTTGTTTTATATTATTATTTCTTACAAATAAATATTTTAACAAAATGGCTACACTATTTATTACTATTTGAGAAACTTTTGCCCACCAAATCAAAGTTCAAAAAAGGAAACTTGTCATTGAGTCTCTTAAAATATTTAAATTTTTTGAACTTTTTATGATAAGATAAAGTGAATTCATGTTGTAAAATGTCATATGGCGTGACTACCCAAAAGTGTAATAATATTTATGAATTAATAATGCATGATATTTGTTTTTAAAAAAAATTCTTGAAACTTTTTGAAAATAATGATTAAGATGTGTATATTTACATGTATTTAATGAAAATATGTTATTACTTTTACTTGATGATTACAAATTATATTTAAAAAACATTTCTTGGAAAATAATGATGTGTACACATGTATTCAAGGTGTAAGGAAAATGTTATTACTTTTTACTTGATGGTTACACCACATGACATTTTTAAAGTCAAATATCATTTTTTCTTGAAAATAGTATAAAGGTTTTTCAAACTCACATGAACTTGCCACATGTTTTTTACGACAAGATAAGCTTAGTTCAGGTTGCAAAATATCATGTGGTGCAACTCCCCAAAATAATATTTATTAATTATTACATCATGATATACGGTACTGTGCAAAAGTCCTAGGCCATTAGTATTTTCACCAACAAAAAATGGTTTTAAGCCAGTTATATCTTTTGCTGTAGTGTGTCAGTAGGAAATAACACAGTTTACATTTCCAAACATTCCTTTTACCATTAATTGTAATAATTCAGTGAGATTTTTGTATGCACAAGGAGTCTGACAACCGCCAGTGCTCCACACAGATCTGATCTCACCATCATTCAGTCCGCCTGAGATTACATGAAGAAACAGAAAAAACCCAGACAGACTAAATCCAGAAGAACTGTGGCAACGTCTCCAAGACACTTCAAATGACCTACCTGCAAAGCTACCTGAAAAACTATGCACAACCGTACTTAGGACAAAAGCTGTTTTAAACAAAAAGGGTGGTCAAACCAAATGTTGATTTGATTTAGTTAATTGAAGTTAATTGATCAATAAAATCTATTTATGACATTATTTTTGAAAGCATCCTCACTTTACAGCATTTTTACACAAGTGCCTAAAACTTTTAACAGTACTGTAGCTTTGTAGGAAGCATTAATTTCATTTTGTTCTTCAAGCATCTTAGAGATGTTTGGATTTAGTCTGCCTCAGTTTTTTCTGTTTCTTCATGTAATCCCACACAGACTGGATGATGGTGAGATCAGATCTGTGTGGAGCACTGGCTGTTGTCAGACTCCTTGTGCATACAAAAATCTCACTGAATTATTACAATTAATGGTAAAAGGAATGTTTGGAAATGTAACCTGATATTTTCTACTGACACACTACAGCAAAAGATATATAAAAATAACAAGCTTAAAACCATTTTTTGTTGGTGAAAATACTAATGGCCTAAGACTTTTGCACAGTACTGTACGTATAAACAAAACTGACTTTGGAAAATAAAAATTGTATTATTACATAATGACAGATTAGTCATTTTTGAATGAACTTTACCTTTAAAAAAATCTCTGTTGTGTCTATAAAAACCCCTCAAATCTCATGGCAGTTAATGAAACAATGCCTTTTCTCTCTCTCAACTTTGGGAAAGGGAACCACCCACCTGTTCCAAACACTGGCATTGGACAGCTGCAGTGTTGGCGAGCTGGCATGAAAACGGGCGAGGTCGGACAGTACGGGCGAGCTCATAAAACGGGGTCTGGGCTTTCGGAATGACCCCATGGTTTCGTTGAGATGAGAACAGGCACGTGCTAGAACAAATGTCAGAGATGAAAAGTCACGTTACAGGCAAAACCTCCCACAGGGTACACCGAAAGGGTGACGCAAAGAATGCATGAGACAACCGCAAAAGGCAGTTGTTTACATGGTTCAGCTGCGGTGACTCATTTATATATCGATGCCTGTGTCATATTGAAAGCCACACAGAACATCTACGATACAAATAAGTATACTTCCTTTTATGTGCAGCCTGACATAAGACTTCCTGGTGAACCTATGGCTGCGCTCCACTCACGCACAGAGGTATCGGATAATCGCAAAGAGGCAGTTAGGATGCAGTTAACCAGATGCCTGTATCAGATACTGACACGTTCAAACAGCGCTCATCTTAATTTCCTTTGCACAAATGCTTCTCAGAATTCTGACTCAAGCTGTCTCGTTCACAAGCTGCACCCATCAAAACTTGATTCCACACACATCTGATACCAACTGTAAACTTACATATTTATCACATCTGCCTAATAATAGGTTCAATCAGTTCCCACATTGACAAAAACACTGTAGCAACGACAACTATGTTGCTATTAGAGGGCAAACAATGTCTCCAATTATAGGCTGCCTTTGTAAAGCTTATGATGGGTTAAATTGGTATTTTATCCACCCAGCAAAAACATGGCAATATCAGATGGTGCCCCGAATCTATTCCATTTGCTACAAGAAAATGAGCTCATTCACAGTCTTACATTCACAGCAATCATGAATGAAAATTTTATGCATCCATACTCACCATCTGCTAATTAGGAGGCCAAAAACCAGTCAGACTCCCGCTGCAGTTGATTCACTCTATGCATATTTTGCATGAATTGAGCTTATGGGGCGCCTCTGGTCATAAATCACACTAAGTAAGACATCACGTTTCTGCCCGGCTCCTTAAATATAATCTCATTCTTTCAGTTCTGGTATATTAATTTATTCACCAAGTGAATTAGGACTTGGGTTGTCTGGTGAGATGGTTGACTGGTGAACTTCAAATAACAGACATGAGCAAGTACTCAGACCAGCTAGGTAATGCAATTAAAGCTGCAGCATCTCAAAGCATGACCCGAGGAGAGTAAACAGCCTCATTTATCATCCGCGTTCAACTGCTGACCTTGCTTAAGTACATTAAGTGGACTCTCAAAGTCGACGTCAACTTTTGGAATGCCCGTTTACACTGAGAACAAGAACTATAACTACAAATGCACCAGCTTTAAAGATCTGGTGCATTTAAAGCATGTATGCTAATATAATTATCGTTCATGATGTTAACAGGCCTCTAAAGTCTTGTTCTAAAAGACCATTTACGCAAATTAGGATAAACGTAAAATTTAAATAATCGTTCTAATTCTATGAGAACAGTTAAGTCCAGACTCAAATGGCAGACTCAAAGCTCACGCGGGTTGCCAGATTAAAGGGATAGTTCACCCAAAAATTTAAATTCTGTCATTCATTACTCACCCTCATGTCGTTCCAAACCCGTAAGACCTTTGTTCATCTTTGGAACACAAATTAAGATATTTTTTTATGAAATGTGAGAGCTCTCAGACCCTGCATAGACAGCAACGCAACTGTAATGTTCCCATGTCCAGAAATGTAGTAAGGGGTAGGGTTGGGTACCAAAACCCGGTACCAATATGGCACCGGTACCTATGTAACCGGTATGTACTAGAACCGAATCCGAGCGCAGATTTTGGTGCCTCATTTTGGTGCCATGCCTGAGCGATTGATTGAAATATTTGCCCTCTGGTTCTCCGAAACAGACGTAAGAAGCACCATCACTGGCACCGCACGTGAAAAATAATTTCCCGACTGAGAAAATGCACGTGAACTCAAGTCGGAAAGCTCTAACAATACAAATCCAACACATCTTTGTAGTAACGAGAGTGTCCATGTTGTTTTCACATTCCGACTTAAAAGCACAACTCGGGAAATGAGAGCATCCGAGGAGCGCGTGAATGCAGTAATTACACTTGCTCTGATGGCAGCAGGTAGCCTTCCGTTAACTAAGCTAAACAAGCTTAAATTAAAATGCCTAAAGCTAAACCTCCCTTGTATTCACATTTCTAAACCTGTTGTCCAACAAAAGAGAAAATTATAAGCTTTTTACTCCACAACACCAGTCAAATGCTTCCTTTTGTGATCTGATGAGGCTTCTTGTCACAGAATGAGGCAGAAAATATGTTCTATATGCTACTTTAAAAAGAATACATCGATTAGCAATAAATTAGGGTGACCATACGTCCTCTTTTCCCCGGACATGTCCTCTTTTTGGACCTACAAAAATGCGTCTGGCCGGGATTTCTTAATTGCCCAAAATTTCCGGGATTCGGCTGTTTTCTTAATCCCACGCTCGCTGAATCTCTGACCATTGCTGCCTGCTCCCGCAACATGTGTTTTGCTCCCGCGCACACGCGTGATGTACAGGGAGCAAGCACATCTTACAAGATCAGATATTTGTCAATGAGCTCAGAATCTGTTGAGCAGCAAATACTCCAGCATGGTCTTGTCAGTCATCTCTCCTTATTCTCGACCTGTGATCAGTCAAAGCTGACTC